GACCTTGTGATCCACCTGCCTCAGCCTCCCAAAGTGCTGGGATTACAGGTGTGAGACACAGTGTCTTCCCTGGCCCCTCTTTCTTAAGGTTACTTTTAAGTCAAGAAAAGTGACACTCCATCAACACAGGCCTAGAGCTTAGTTCTGGTTCTTAGGTTCAATATGCAATAAATGTAAGTCAGGTGTGACAGAAACCCACACGAAGGATAGTTGTAAGTAGAATTATGTCTGTTTAGGCTTTTAACACATATTTTGTAGAACTCTGGCTATTTCTGAAAGTACCAGTGAACATTTGATAGTTTAATAAATAGAGCTTACCTGGGCTTAAAGGTTATCCCCTTCCTTACCCCTTGAAGTTGCTTTGAATACTATGACCAAAAAGTCTTTCGATTAAAATAATTATATAATGCAAAATCCAATACAAATACACACTTGCAAATATCATCGTAGTTATTTATTTAGATTGTTTTTAAATGAGACAGTGCCTTTAAATATGACTTCATAGCCCATTATCCATTACCATTCATTCATCCATTCATTTGTTCATTCAAGGATTCATTTAGTTCAAATAATACAGAGGTGGAGATGGGGAGAAATCACTGGGGTGGAGGTGGATGTCAGGAAGTGGGCAAAGGTAAGACTGCAGCTCTAGTACAGAAGAGATGATGAACGTAAACAAGTCTTAAGAGAGGACAGGAAGAAAACCTTCCCTATCGGCCTGTAGAATGTGCTTGACTGAAGGGAAGTTGGGTGCTAACAGTGGAACCTAACACCACAGCAGATGTGCGACTACGGATAGAGGGTTACATGTTCACCTTTGTAGCTAAAAACAAAAAGGATAGTCCTTTTCTATGTACAAAGCATTCAAACACTCCAACCAAATGTAATCCTCACAGCAACAGTGTGAATTAGGAGTGTTCCCATTTAACAATGAAAATACTGAGGCCTTAGGAGAATGACTGGCCCAATGCTGTACAGCCAGTAAGGCGGCGATAGAGGAAAAAAGACTCAAACCCAGATCTTTCTCTAAACTGGGAGCTTTGTGCACAATCCTGCTACCGCCAAACGTTAGAATCAGAAGGGAGCTTAAAGACCATATCTAGTCCTTTCATTTTAAAGGAGTTGGGAATGCGCCCTGATTTGCCCCAGCTAGTACATTACAGAGGGACAATCCGAGCCCTGGTTTCCTGACAGCTCCCAGTCTGTCCACTCTACCACCTGGCCTCACAATGAAAAGAAACACCAATGTTCCACATATAAATCAGAGCTCACCAAAAGGTCACCAAAAATCAAACAGCAAACACCTATTCTCTTTGAAACTCAACAGCAAAGTTGGTGGCAGCAATACTTGCTCTATTCCCAGGAATCTTAAGGCTTTGGAGAAATGAAAATAAGCACCACCACGAAAACAGAATTGCTGAATAATCCATTTAGAATCTTGGCCAGTATGTGCATACTCTAGGCCTATTAAGTCAAACTTATTAATAGCTTTTCTTCACAGAGGAAAAAGTTCATATATACCTACCAACTGCATTTGATCAGTAAGATATCATGTCAGTGTGCTTCTTACCTGAAGTACATTTATGGTGGAGTCATATCGTCACATAAATAATCACATATTATAGCTTGCTTCAGAGGGAATTTGAGACGGAGTCTTGCTCTGTCACCCATGCTGGAGTGCAATGGTGTGATCCCGGCTCACTGCAAACTCCACCTTCTAGGTTCAAGTGATTCTCCTGCCTCAGCCTCCCAAGTAGTTGGGATTACAGGCGCCCACCACCGTGCCTGGCTAATTTTTGTATTTTTAGTAGAGACCAGGTTTTGCCATCTTAGCCAGGCTGGTATCGAACTCCTGACTTTGTGATCCACCTGCCTCGGCCTCCCAAAGTGCTGGGATTACAGGTGTGAGCCACCGCGCCCAGCCAGAATGAAATTTTTAAAAACACCAGGACTGAGAATCCATCCACCCAACCAAGACCCAACAAAGTAGCAGTTACTGCTCTAAACATTCACTCATTCATGAGACTATTGAAGAAATCCAGGAGGCTTGGTGATACTGACCTCACTCTCAGTTCTATCCGCAAGTAGTAAAGTACTACTGCCAAATATACCTGGAAAAGACACTTGTCTCCACAACCTGTTACTGAATGCAGCATATAGAATCCGTTCTATTCTGAAGAACACCACGCTCCAAAGGATGTTTTGTTTTGGAGAGACAGCTGTAGGGGAAAGTGCAGCTGGATGCTTAGTAATGCTTCCTGAGTGACTAAATGAACAAAGTGGATCTCCCTGGCCCTTAGTAATAATCCTATGAGATTCCAGGAAGAAAATTAGCTTATTTATCTTCATAGAGCAACAACAAAATGATTCAATATGAATATTGCGGTTCTGAAGTTTGCTTCCTTCATTCTTGCCTTTTGCCAGTTGCAGAACTCCACCAGTGGACATCGAGGTAGTGGGGGGCCAAGAGAGTCCGTGAAGCCAATTATTCATGTATCAAGATTTCAAACTGTCCAAATGGAATTCTGGCAATGTAAGAACTCAGGACAGGAAAAATACCTTGAAAGAATCTACTCTTACAAAAGAAGAGTTTTTGAGATGTAGGAAGTGGTGATCGCTGCTGTGTAGTTGGGGGTAAGCTCCTCTCCTTCAGCCTTGCAGGGGGAGGAAAAGCCTCCAAACACTCTGAGGCTGAGGCTTCTCAGCCCAGGAACCCAGGATCATACAATCACCAGGCACAGTGGCCACAGAGCAACCTCCACCTCAAGAGAACAATTCCAGAAGTGAACTCATTGAACATACTATACAAGATGTGATTTTCTTCTTTAAAAGTACCCTCACAAGGAAAAAGGCAGGTGGCTGCCATTCCCCAGCCACGCATCCCCAGGAACTCTTGGCAGGAACTTGGCTGTGTTGTCCTGTCTCAGAGACAAACTCATCTGTTTTAGGTCTAGCCTGGATTGCTGCCTTTGAAAACAAGGAAAGGTCGGTAGAACATCAACCACAGCATGGAACATCCAGGGAGGTCTCATTTCAAAACCTCATCAAGAACAAGAACCACATGGACTTCTATGAAGCGATGATTAAACTGGCCTGAGTCTGAAAGGATAATGTGCCCCCAACCTGTAATTGACGCCAAGGAGGTAAAGTGGCAGAAGGTCTTATATGAGAAACAGCCCTTTCCTGACAACTTAGTGGACCTGGTTCCTGGAAGAGCTCCGGAAAAACATCCAGGCTTGGAAATACCAATGGTGGACTGTGGTACTTGAGTCCAGTGTGGTGATCCAGCAGTTGTGCAGCATTTGTGACTTTCTGGTTATCTGGTGTTCCATGGATGAGGGTCTTCTGGCCTCCCATTGGCTTTTTGGGACTGGCCTATCTTCTTCACTGATTGGGTGTTTTGTTTGATTTCACTGATGGAGATGAAGGGCGGAAGAAAAGTGGGTGGACCTGGTGGGCTGACCTGGAGAGTGTCCTAGTCTTCATTACTTTCACTTATGGCTTTTCACCAGTGCTAAAGAACCTGGCAGAGTCTCTCAGCACTGACACCATCTATGCCATGTCCGTCTTCATGCTGTTGGGCCACCTCATCTTTTTTGACTGTGGTGCCAATACTGCCACTATGTCCAGCACGCTATCCTTGAACATGGCCACCTTTGCTTCTGGCTGCTGGCATCACGCCTTCCCCAGTCCCTGCCTTCATCATGGTAACACTTGCCTCCAGGTTTTTGTCCTGTGGCCCATGTTATAGAAGAAACTAAAGGCATGTACTCCCTGGAGCCATGTGGTGGTCACACTGCTTTTTGTGTTTAGCCTTGGGAGGCCACTGTCTATTAGTGCCGTGGGAGCCATACTCTTTGCCCTTCTGCTGATTTCTGTCTCATGTCTCTGTCCATTCTACATCATTTGCCTGCAGCTTTTTAAAGAAAACATTTACGGGACTCGGGATGAAGCAAAAATCAAGGAAGACTTTCCCAGGTTCCTCAGCTAAATTAGGGATGTTCTGACAGACTAGCCTCCTAACTAGTATAAAACTTAGAGACAGAGTTCCATTCTGGATGCAGCATGTCAGTGTGGTAAGAGAACAGAGATCAAAACAAAATAAAACAAATGAACCAAAGGCTTGGGTGGTGAGGGTGCTTATCCTTTCTGTAATTCTGTGGATGAAAGAACTTTCTGGGGCCCTCTTGAATTATTCGCTATAAGAAACGAAGTGATATGGTTTCTATTTAAAAAAATAACACATTCAGGCTGGGCACAGTGGCTCATGCCTGTAGTCCCAGCACTTTGGGAGGCCGAGACAGGCAGATCACCATGGTTGGGAGTTTGAGACCAGCCTGACCAACATGGAGAAACCCAGTCTCTATTAAAAATACAAAATTAGCTGGGCATGGTGGTGCATGCCTGTAATCCAAGCTACTTGGGAGGCTGAGGCAGGAGAACCGCTTGAATCCAAGAGGTGGGGGTTGCAGTAAGCTAAGATTGCGCCACTGGACTCCAGCCTGGGCAACAAGATCAAAACTCCATCCCACCGCCCCCCCCCAAAAATAACACATTCAAACAAACAAACAAAAAATAAATATAAATAAAAGTCCTCTCACAAAATGTGGTCAGTCTGCCAGATTACAGTGGCCCCAGATTCTCCAGTCTCCAGCCAAGGATCTAAAGATATATCTGGCTCTACTTTTTTTGGTGAGGAGAGACAGGCTATGGCTCTGTCAACCAGGCTAGAGCACAGTGGCACAACCATAGCTCACTGCAGCCTCAAACTCCTGGGCACAAGCAATCCTTTTGCTTCAGCCTCAGCTTGTAGCTGGGAGTACAACTGTGAGTACAACCGTGTGCCACCAAACCAGGCTAATTTTTTTTGTACTTTTTGTAAAGATGTGATCTTACTATGTTACCCAGGCTAGACCTGAACTCCTAGCTCAGGTGACCCTCCCACCTTGGCATCCCAAAGTGCTGGGATTATAGGTGTGAGCCACCATGCCCAGCCCTGTTTGTTGTTGTTTAATTTATCACATCATCATAGATTAGAACCAACATCAGTGCTGATCTGTATACATGTAATTTCTACCTGAGCTCCTAGCACCAGATCCAAGTCCTTGTATAAACCCTGGGACCATCAGCAATCTCGAAAATCCTGAAAGCGGAATGTATTCGGACTCTACCGGGACCAATATCCTTTTCATGGAATATCTGCTTTTCTCCCCATCAGTCCTATTGGAATACCCACCCAACTGCTTCTTCAAGTCTTTCTTGAAAACCTACAATCACTGCATTTCCTTACAAAGAGGGATCAGAGAAAACAGCTGCTAGTAGTGAAACGTAGCCCTTACCCCTGGGTGTGCAGGGATGGCTGCTGGTCTTCCTGGGGTCTTTCTGAAATGGTTTCCAAGTTTCTTTTTTTTTTGAGACAGAGTCTCACTCTGTCACCCAGGCTGGAGTGCAGTGGCATGATCTCAGCTCACTGCAGCCTCTGCCTCTTGGGTTCAAGAGATTCTCCGGTCTCAGCCTCTCAAGTAGCTGGGACTACAGGCATGCACCACCACGCCCAGCTAAGTTTTGTATTTTTAGTAGAGACAGGGTTTCACCATGTTGGCCTGGCTGGTCTCAAACTCCTGACCTCAGGTAATCTGCCCACCTTGGCCTCCCAAAGTGCTGGGATTACAGGCATGAGTCACTACACCCGGCCAGCTTCTAAGTTTCTCTTAGCTTCCCGTCCAGAAGGCTTCACGTGCTGCTATTACTGCATTACTCGTACAGTAATATAATCTGACCCCTTGCTGTTCTGGAGGTTGGAGATCATTCCAACTTCATGGCTCTGCTTCTAATATAATGTCCCTGTCTAAAATACATACATGCACGTGTACACTTTAAAACAAACAAACAAACAAACAAACAAACAGAACAGATCATCTGTGAGACCCAAATCACTCACAGTCAGAGGACATGTCAGGAATTCTGGTCACTGAAGTTCCTTGAAAAATAATACTCAAACACCAGAGATTCTCTATGACTTCCTTACCTAGGAGATTCGTGAACTCAAGCTATTTTATCTGAAAACACTTAATCTAATCCCAGAATTTAATTTAATCAACACATCTGTGTATTCTCTCAGAGTAAAATTTTAAGTAAGAATTTCAGACATTTCCTTCACATTACAGTAAACTATTTTTCAAAAAATTTCCTCTGACTTTCAAGGGTTGAAAATCAAAGAATTTCCTTTCAATAGATGTCATAAGTTGTAACTGCTGTCATCCAGACGCAGGCGTAATTCTGTATAAAAGAACAAGCTTTTTAAAGTCCAATAACTCTGTGTCTTCGGGGGAAGGTTAAAAGAAAAAAAAATTTAAATATAAAAAAGAAAGTTAAAAAAAAAAGGAGACAAATAATTCTCCTCTAGAACAAAGGGCTTGGGAGCCCTATGCAATAAACAGGGGGAGAAAATGGCACAAAGATGTTATGTAGCCCTTCTAACAAAAAATAGCAGGAGGGAGGAGTCGGGGGCAAGGCTGTTTGAGGGAGGGCAAGAGGTGAAGTCACGGCTTGGTCTCTTTTACGCTTGGATGGCTGTCAGCACGGGGTATCTGAAAGAAGAACTACCCAGATTGCAGAAGAGAGAGGTCCCAGCCTCCTTGGAATGACATGATGGGAAAGGAGTGGAGACACAGCTGAACGTTACCTGTAAAACTCGAGAACAAAAATCTTCTTTGATTTGTAAACTTGCACTCATAAATACAATCTCTCAAAATAGAATTCAGTGCATTTTTCAACGAATCTTTCCAACAGTGATACATAATATTCTTCCCTTTGGAATCGGTGCTGTTAAATAGACATGTACAATATAGCCATTTTCCAATGCAACATTAGAGCTGAGAACAGGTATTCTGCGGCGAGTGAGTAATACTGCTGCTGTAGGTGCATACACGTTAGGATCGGACGAGGATCTTACTGAGGATTGCATCATAGTAGGGACAGAAGACCATCTTGTTATAGTTGACCAGGCGAGCAAATTTAATAGCAACTTCCTCCAGCTCTCTCTGAACTGGACTGAGTCCCCCAGGGACTGTGGGTAATGGCTTCTGATGACCCGAGGCAAGGTAGGTTTCTAAGAAGGTCAGGATTCGAGATTCTGTGATGAAAAGAAAGCGGTTAGTTGTTTCTTGTCCTTCACCTTACAAACCCCCGAATGTGCTTCAGTCCTCAGCTTTAACCATCACCTTAGGGGAGGTGGTCCCCAATCAATACTCCCAGACCAGATTCCCACAGCACCTTGGACTTCTGCACACTCATCCCATTTATTACGTTTTCTTTCCCCTTTAGATGGTAGTTTCATGAAGGTAGGAGCCAGCTCATCTTGTTCACCATGTCTCCTCAGCACTCAGCACAGTGCCTGGCATGAGACCCAGCTCCCAGGAGAAGCTCAAACACACTTGAAATGCAAGAATGAAGGTGTGAGTGGCCGGGCACAGTGACTCACACCTGTAATCCCAGCACTTTAGGAGGCTGAGGTCAGGAGTTTGAGACCAGCCTGGCCAATGTGACGAAGTCCCGTCTCTACTAAAAATGCAAAAATTAGCCAGGTGTGGTGGTACACACCTGTAGTCCCAGCTACTCGGGAAGCTGAGGCATGAGAATCACTTGAACCCAGGAGGTGGAGGTTGCAGTGAGCCGAAACCACGCCGTTGCACTCTAGCCTGGGCAACAGGGCAAGCCTGTCTTCAAAAATAATAATAATAATAGAATGAATGCGTGAGTGAGTAAGACACGAGTGGCTGGAGACATGCTCTGCTGTTGGAGGAGCAACACATCCTGAGACCAATGCTAGCCATTGCTGATGATCACGTAAAAAGGTAGAAAAATAAAGCAGGAATTCCAGGTTCAAAAAAGTAAAGAGAAGCACCAGCAGCTGGTGACGTTTTCCCTACTAAGCCTCTATGAAAGCAGCACATGCTTCCTTCTCTGCTGCCTGCCAAGTAAGTCAGGAGCATTTGTAAACTTGTCCTACTCTGAGGAATAATTTAGGTTGCTGCTTTTCTAGTCCATTCCCCTTCACAATGCTTTTGCACTCTTGTGTACCCTCATGAAAAAAGATTTGATCAAGCTATACTTCTTGCAGATTTTATCACAACAACAATAGAGACATTTATATGGAATGGACTTTTTTAAACTACATGCCCTGCCTCCTGCCTGGGGTATCCTCTCAGGTGCAAATAACTTACGCCCTCCTGAACCTCACAATAGAGACAGAAAACTGCTGACAAGACCTGCCACCCTTATTTATTTATTTATTTATTTATTTATTTATTTATTTATTCCAAAACAGTTTCACTCTGTCACCCAGGCTAGAATGCAGTTGTGCAGTCTCAGCTCACTGCAACCTCCACCTCCCGTGTTGAAGTGAGTCTCCTCCCTCACCCTCCCGAGCAGCTGGGATTACAGAGGTGCACCACCCCGCTCAGCTAATTTTTGTATTATTAGTAGAGGCAGAGTTTCACCATGTTGGCCAGGCTGGTCTTGAACTTCTGACCTCAAGTGATCTGCCCACCTCGGCCTACCAAAGTGCTGGGATTACAGGTGTGAGCCACCACACCTGACCCTATCACCCTTATTCTTTTTTTTCTGTTTTTGAGATGGAGTTTCCCTCTTGACTCCCAGGCTGGAGTGCAATGGCACAATCTTGGCTCACTCCACCTCCTGGTTTCAAGTGATTCTCCTGCCTCAGCCTCCTGAGTAACTGGGATTACAAGCACACACCATCATGCCCAGCAAATTTTTGTATTTTTAGTAGAGACGGGATTTCACCATGTTAGCCAGGCTGTTCTCGCACTCCTGACCTCAGCTAATCTGCCCACCTTGGCCTCCCAAAATGCTGGGATTATAGGTGTGAGTCACCATGCCTGGCCCTATTACCCTTATTCTTAAGTTAGTTTGGTTCTCTAAGGTTCCCAGAGCTGGTAGCCTCACCAAGTAGAAATCTTTTTATTGTTCTTACCCAAAGACTGGTTTTTCTTTTCTTTCTTTTTTTTAGAGACAGGATCTTGCTCTGTCACCCAGGCTAGAGTGCGGTGGTGGTGCAGTCATAGCTCACTGCAGCCTCAAACTCCTGGGCTCATGATCCTTCTGCCTCAGCCTCCTGAGTAGCCAGGACTACAGATGCATGTCACTGTCCTGGCTAATTTTATATATATATTTTTTATTTTTGGTAGAGATGGGGTCTCACTATGTTGCCCAAGTAGTCTTGAACTCCTGGTTTTAAGTGATCCTCCCAGTAAGGGCTGGTTTGTAATCCCCATGACTACGACTGGCTGTTACAAAACAACCCAGACAGCAGGATGAGAAGCAACTTGCTGGCCACAGGTCTACTTGCAGGCACTTGCCTGCCTCCTTACCAATGGTATAAGTCTCGTCTGAGTGCAGTGGTTCATGCCTGTGATCCCAGCACTTTGGGAGGCCAAGGCAGGTGGATCACTTGAGTCTAGGAGTTTGAGATCAGCCTGGCCAACATGGCAAAACCCTGTCTCTACAAAATGGAGTGCAATGGTGCAATCTCAGCTCACTGCAATCTCTGCCTCCTGGGTTCAACTGATTCTCCCGCCTCAGCCTCCCAAGTAGCTGGGATTACAGGTGCATGCCGCCACGCCGGGCTAATGTTCTTTTTTTGAGACGGAGTCTCGCTTTGTCGCCCAGTCTGGAGTGCAATGGCACGATCCCAGCTCACCGCAACCTCTGCCTCTTAGGTTCAAGAGATTGTCCTGCCTCAGCTTTTCAAGTAGCTAGGACTTACAGGCATTAGCTACCACACCCAGCTAATTTTTGTATTTTTAGTAGAGATGGGGTTTCACCATGTTGGTCAGGCTAGTCTTGAACTCCTGACCTCAGGTGATCTGCCCGCCTTGGCTTTCCACAGTGCTGGGACTACAGGCAAGAGCCACCACACCCGGCCAGCTAATTTTTTTTTGTATTTTTCGTAGAGATGGGCTTTCACCATGTTAGTCAGGTTGGTCTTGAACTCCTGACCTCAGGTGATCCACCCACCTTGGTCTCCCAAAGTGCTGGGATCACAGGCATGAGGCCCTGAGCCTGGCCGCATTAAAAATATTTTAATATTTCAAGTTTATTATAAATTTTAAATAGCAATATCTTATTACCATCTTAATAGTTTTATTATATTTGATATGTTGATAGTATTACATACTAATATTTAATAATATTTTAATAGTATTTTTAAATAACATCTTCATTTTGCTATTCAGCTATTTTTGTAACTGCTCCTATTTACTAAGGGCTTACTATGTGTTGCCAGGCACTATAGCAAGTGCTTCACCATCTCGTCTCAGGGAGTCCCTGCAGTGACCTTGTAAGGTTGCTGCTCTTATTTCCCACTTTTAGAGATGAGGAAACTCGAATGACAAGTCACACGCCCAAGCTGCACGGTAAGCCCTGGGGTACCACTTGTGAACCCAGGTGAGTGATTCCAAAGTCACAGCCCTTAGAACAATGATGGCTGCCTGGTCCAGTGCCCGTCTGTTGGGTGGCCCTGGTCTCTCTGTGATGCTTCATCACACTGTCTCCTTGCCCATCAGCATCCTAACCCCAGCTAAGCCCTCAGGTTTCTTCAGAGGGGCCTGTCCTCCAGCCCCTCAGAGGGCACATCCCTGCTGCCTGCCTTCCCTCAAACATACCCATGATCCTGCGAATGGGGTCGTCGGGGCTGGCCACAGCCTGGATCTGGCCCTTGAGCACGGTCTCCTTGTCCGTGGTGAAGGGGGAGGACCCACACAGGGAGAGGCAGCTGCTCACCTCCAGGCATACCTTCTCCCCAATGGTAGTGAGAACATCCTTCAGATGGAAGGAGCTGGAGTGGAGGAGGGGAAAAAGGGGTTGTAAGTAAAATACACCTCTAACTGCTCCAGCCGCCCACATCAGGTGAGGACGACAGCATCAGTAACTGGATTTATGTATTCAAGGGACAATTTGTGACTCTTTTCCCTGCCACCTTGCCTCTCAGGCTGTGCATACCTGACCGGGGATCTTTCTTCCTCTCTCTCTGCTAGAAAAGACAGTGGGAAGGGCAAGGGCTCAGAGTATACCAGGACCAATGACCCAAAGCCCAACTTCCTGCTAGCCTCTGTGTGATAAAATCAGCCTGGAATGATCTCAGAATATCTCCATATACCTCTGGAGGGATACACAAGAAAGCAGACATTTGGTAGCTGTGGGACAAGAAGGAGAGAGAAACTATTCACTGGGTGCCCTTTTGTACCTTTTGATTTTTGAAGCATGCACATGTATTAACTACTTTTAAAAGAATAAAGAGGCCCAGTGCAGTGGCTCCCACCTATAAACCCAGCACTTCGGGAGGCCGAGGCAGGTGGATCAGGAGTTTGAGGTCAGGAGTTTGAGACCAGCCTGGCCAACATGGTGAAACCTCATCTCTACTACAAATACAAAAAGATTAGCTGGGAGTGGTGGCAGGTGCCTATAATCCCAGATACTGGGGAGGCGGTGGTAGGAGAATCACTTGAACCCAGGAGTCAGAGGTTGCAATGAGTAGAGATTGCGTCATCGCACTCCAGCCTGGACGACAAGCGAAACCCTATCTCATAAAAAAAAAAAAAAAAAATTTTTTTTTAAT